TTGATTCCAGTCAAGGGCATGTACCTCGGTTGCAGTTCAGTCCCCAGCCCTGGTCACGGTCGTGCGGGAGGTAACCGGTGGATGTGTCCCTCTCATGTGGATGTTTCTCTCTCCCTTTCCCTCTCTCTGCCTCCCACTCTATCTGAAGATAAATGGAAAAAAATATCCTCAGGTGAGAATAAAAAAAAAAATAATAAAACTCATATGAAAATTCAAGGGACCCAGAATAGTCAGAACAATATTGGAAAAGAAGAAAAAAAAAATCTAAAACTTACTACAAAACTGCTAATCAAGGCAATGTGGTATTGGCGTAAGGACAGACATGCAGGTCAATGGAACAGTCCTGAGAGTCCAGAGAAAGAATTTGCACCCATGCTTTACATCATACACAGGGGTGGGCAAAAGTAGGCTCACAGTTGTTCACTGGGGAAAGTACATATTGATAAATAATGATACAAAGATAAACTCATGCACTCACCACTGCAAACCTACTTTTGCCCACCCCTGTATAAAAATTAATTCAAAATGGATCATAAGACCTGAATGTCAGAGCTAAAACTATAAAAATCTTAGAAAACATAGGGGAAAATCTTCATGACCTTGAATTTGGTTTCATAGCTATGACACCAAAAGCACAAGCAACCAAAAAACACAGATAAATTGCATTTCATTAAAATTAAAATCATTTAGCCTGGCCAGTGTGGCTCAGTGGATTGAGCGTCGCCACATGGACTGAGAGGTCCCAGTTTGATTCCTAGTCAGGGCACAAGCCCGGTTTGGGGCTCGATCCCCAGTAGGGGGCGTGCAGGAGGCAGCTGATGGATGTTTCTCTCTCACATTGATGTTTCTATTTCTCTCTCCCTTCCCCTCTCTCTAAAAAAATCAATAGAAACATACTTTACAAAAATAAAAAATTTTGTGCTTCGAAGGACATTATCAAGGAAGTGATAAAACCACCAACAGGATGGAAGAAAATATTAACAAATCAAATATCTGAAGTAGGTGTAGCATCAAGAAATATAAAGAATTCTTAAAACCCGACAATAAAAAGACAAAGAACCCACTTCAAAAATGGGCAGAAGATCTGAATAGACATTTCTCCAAAGGAGATACACACATGGCTGATAAGCACATGAAAAGATGCTCAACACCATTAGTTATCAAGTAAATGCAAATCAAAACCACAATTGGATACCACTTCACACCCAGTAGGATGGCTAGGTAGGGGGGAAAATGTTTTTTAAACACAGTAATAAGAGTTGGCCAGGAGGAGGAGAAATTGGACCCCCGGTTCATTGCTGGTGGGAATGTAAAGTGGTGCAGCTTCTCTGAAAGTAGTTTCTGACAGTTTCTTAAAAGTTGGACATGGGCTTACCATCTGACCCGACAGTTAGCAGTCCCACCCCTAGGTATACACCTAAGAGAACTGAAAACACGTCACACAAAACCGTATGCACGGGTGTCCCTAGCACATCTCCTAACAGCCCACAGTGGAGACAGCCCGACCGCCCTTCGCCGGTGAGTGGAGACGCAGAGCCGCACAAGGAGGGGACACTCCCAGCACTGAGGACTTGGAGCTGAGTTACAGAAGGGGACGCGGCGTGGAGAGGCTCACACTGCGGCCAGGGAATGCTGACGCCAGAGTGTCCTAGAGGAATGAGCAGCATCTCCAGGCAGGGGCACAGCTGGAGCAGAGCCCGGGAGCAGGAAAGCCTGCGGGACATGCAGAGGACAGGAAGCAGAGGCGTTGCAGGAGGGAGCCGGGGTGGACTAGGCAGACTTCCAGTCTGGGAGTGGAGCAAAAAGGGGGACAGGGTTGATGTCAGGCCTCAGCGCGCACCAAACTCCTGCCTCCTTTCAGACCGCAGCACCCTTCCACGGACCCTGGCCCCTTGGCTGGGCCGGCAGAGCCTGTGCCAGTGGTCTCCGGGGACTCTGGCCTTCCCCCAGAGCAGAGATCCTGCAGCCTCCTCAGCCGCCCTGCCCACCTGATGGCTGCGTGGCTTGGGGGTGACATGTGGCCTTTGCACACTCCGTGTACACAGCAGCCTGGGTCTCATCGTTTTCATGCCCTCGCAGACCTCAGAAAGGAGAGACTCTAACTCCCAGTGGCATTTAGCTTCGCTCTTTAAACATCTGGGTCACAGATATGTTTAGTTAATTAATGTTCTTAGCGCTGCTCATTTGCCTTCTGGATAATAGATTGATTCATAATTTCAATAAGCAGCTGTGTATATCTTCCCCCGAACATAAAGGCAGCTTGTTGTCATTCATCACTTTGCATTTGGTGAATTTAAATATACTCAGAGACATTGTTTTGGGAGGAGGAGGAGAGAGTTACTGATTTTCTTATCATTTGCCTGTAACAATTACTCTGATTTGGAACCAACATGTTAACTGCATCTCTCTCAAGGGCACTTAATAAAATCTCTGTCACTTGTTTTGGGGAGGTCAGGAGGGCTTCCCTTTTCGGATCAGAGCAGAGGGTTTCTGAGTAGCTACCACCAGGAGCTTAGAGCCCCCAAGGAGAATCTTATGCCCTGGAGAAGAGGCACTCATGTCCCTGAGCAGAGTTGCCTTCTTGATCCACCCATGACCAGAAGTGCCCAGGCTCTGGGAGGAGGAGCGGATCATTAGGGAGGAGGCCCCTCTGCTGCTCCGCTTCTGGGCCAGGGCCACCAACCACAGGGTCCCTAGGGACCCAAGAGAGGCCAGGACCTAGCCAGGTGTCCAGATGTCTTCATGCCTTGGCTTCCTCATCTTTAAAATGGGCTGAGTAGTAGTAGCACGTACCTCACAGGGTGTTATGACAGTTCTGCTATTTACCCCCTGTACAGTCTTAGAAACGATGCACAGTATGCCTTCACTGCCCGCAAGCTGGCCATTGTATCTTCTTCTTATATGAGAACCAGCTGTATATCAGTGATCACCACTCCCACCCTAGTCACCTAGGATCATAAGAACAAACATGAAGACCGGGCCAGGCTTTCTCATGCCCTCGCCAGCCTGCACTGGCATCATCTCGGTGGGAACACAGCCCGTCCGTATATCCCCAGAAGGCCGTCTCCAGACTGGGTACACAGAGGAGCCTCCAACACATGCTTGTAAAGTTTAAATGTGGATTTGATTTTTTTTTTTTTTTAATGAGGACATTCACCAGATTTACAATGTGCTCATCCACAAATCAGTTTTGAGAACTTGGTCTGTGACTACCCTCCTAGCAAGGAATGAAATAATTGAGACACAGCCCCAGCCCCTAAGGAGTGTGAATGGCAGGTGGATGCATGTGTTCAAAAGTTGGAATACAGTGTTTTCAACAACGTGGACAGGCAGGAGAGGGGAGGCCACTGCCGTGGTGTGAGCCCTGCTCGGGGAAGGGTTGGCAGGCAGCACCATCTCTGTATCAGTTAGCTAGTGTTCCATAACAACTATCCCGAACGTAGGGGCATAAAACAGTATGCATTTATTATGGCTCATGAGTACATCGGCCAGCTGGAGGGTCCTGTGATCCGGACCAGGCCCAGCTGATCTTGGTGGGATTCATTCATGAATCTCCTACCAACTAGCAGGTTGGCGGAGCGCTACCTGATCTCTGATGACCTCATCCCCTTGTCTGGTGGTGGTCTCTCACGCTCAGGCAGGCCACCCTGAGCTTCCTGCCATGGGGGCAGCAGGGTTTTAAGAGGGTGGACATATGCAAGATCTAACTCAGGAACAGGCACATCCTCACTTCTGCAACATCCTGTTGACCAAAGCAAGTCACCAATATTCATGGGATGCAGACTTAGACTCTGTTTGATGGGAATCACTGCAAAGCCGCGTTACCAGTGGTGCACAGAAAGGAGAGTGAAGGGTGTGGCCATGTTTGCCATTTCCCACGATCTCCCAGCACGCCTGGGTGCGTGGAGTGAGGGGAAAGCAAGGGCGGGACACTGTTGCTGCACAATTGGGATTTTACAAACAATGTTGCAATAAATACCTTACACACAAGCTTTTGGGATATTATAAACAATGTTGCAATAAATACCCTACACACAGGCTTTTGTGCACCGTTCTGATTATTTGCTTGGGATAGATTTCTAAATCTATGGAGTCAAAGGAGAGGGTCATTTTAAAAGCAGAAAGTGTATATTTTGAAATCCCCTTTTCTGCAAGGTTGTAGTAATTTACCCTCCCTCCAGCCCATCTTACGTTAACCTTGATAAAAGAAGAAGAGGTTCTTTTTGAAAATGTGGTATCTCATTGCTGTTTTATTTATTGTAAAACCTATGAGCTTGAATGCGTTTTTTTAAAATTTCCCCTTTATTGATTTTAGAGAGAGAGGGAGAGAGAGATAGAAACATTGATGAGAGAGAACATCGATTGGCTGCCTCCTGCATGCCCCCCACTAGGATTTGGCCCACAACCTGGGCATGTGTCCTGACCAGGAATTGAACTGGCAACCTCCTGGTGCATGGGTCGACGCTCAGCCACTGAGCCACAGCTGTCGGACCGAATGCTTTTTAATAATGTCTGGTTCTCCTTTTGTGCGCTGCGTCTTCAGGCCCTTTGCAGCAGGGTAGAGTTAATGCATCCCCAAGTACGAATTAGGAAGAAATGGAGGCTCAGAGAGGGTAGGTGAAGTACTCAAGGTGGCCCAGCCAGCGGGAAGCAGAGCCAAGCTGTAGAAATCAGCTGTCCTGCTCTTGCACTGATTCCCACTCCCCAGTGTTGCTGGGAAGAGGCTAGACTTCTGAAACATGGACAAGGACATGCTTAGAAAAAAATCAGAGAGTGGATGCATCTAGGCTTAGCAAACCAGAGGGCTTCCCGGCCAGCGCTCTCCTGTGGGTGGTGTGTGTGTGTGTGTGTGGGGGGGGGGGTGACAGGCCTGAGAGGTGACCAGGACTACAGCACTGACAGAGGTTGGGGTGAGACCTGCAGACCTGAGCCTGTTTTCCTTGGTGGCCTCACCCCTGCCTCTTGTGCCTGCTCCTTGCCATCCTGCTCTCTCTCCCCAGCTCGCCCGCTACACCAAGGAAGGCTTTCTGCACTTGGGAGCCCTGGGGACCACCACGCTCCTCCCCGACACCCGCTGCCTGGTAGACAACTCCAAGAGCCGGCTGCCCCAGCTGCTTGACTGTGACAAGGTCAAGAGCAGCCTTTACAAACGGTGGAACTTCATCCAGGTGAGTGCTCCATGGACAGGGCCGGACCCCAGAGCAGGGGAGGCTGCCGAAGACCACAGGGCAATCTGCTTCCCCAAGGGTACCCAGCAAAATGCACCAACGATCCCCTAGCCCTGGGCCAGGTGCCTGGACCCAAAGCGTATTTTTGGGGTGTCAGGCTGGGGATTGCCATGGGAGATGGCCTCCCTGACTCCTGCAGCAGCACCAGGCTGCTTTGGCTCTGAGAAATCTTGGGAGGGGGCATGGGGGTGATTTCCCTGAAATCTGCTAAAGTACCTCCAGCCAGTAGGACTCAGAAAGTCAGGCCTCGAATGTCCCTGGAAATTCCTCATAATGACACCATTCCTCACGGATGCTCATCACCTGGTTGAGCCACTCAGACTTGATGAAGCTTATTTGTTGTCTGATTTTAGGATTTCCAGAGGAGTCCGCAATGATCCCTCCCCCTGTACAAAGACTTCTGGTGGGATTGTCCCCACAAGAGGCCATGTGCTGGGCACCATGGCATTTAAACCCCTCTCTCTCCCTCCCTTTTTCTCTTTCTCTCCTCCTTTTACCCCCATCTCCTCCCAGAATGGAGCCATTATGAATAAGGGCACTGGGCGCTGCCTGGAGGTGGAGAACCGTGGCCTGGCTGGCATTGACCTCATCCTCCGCAGCTGCACGGGACAGAGGTGGACGATTAAGAATTCCATCAAGTAGTGGGGAGGAGCTGGGGACCCCGGAGCCTGGCCAGAGGGACAGGGTCTGCCTGTGCTCTGGATCAGCCACACTGGTGGGAGCCAGCCGGGAGCCAGCAGGTGCTCGTGGGCATCCACGCTTCTCCAGGGCAGCATCCGCCAGCCAGGAGCCAGCAGGTGCTCGTGGGCATCCACGCTTCTCCGGGGCAGCATCCGCCAGCCAGGAGCCAGCAGGTGCTCGTGGGCATCCACGCTTCTCCGGGGCAGCATCCGCCAGCCAGGGAGCCAGCAGGTGCTCGTGGGCATCCACGCTTCTCCGGGGCAGCATCCGCCAGCCGGGAGCCAGCAGGTGCTCGTGGGCATCCACGCTTCTCCGGGGCAGCATCCGCCAGCCGGGAGCCAGCAGGTGCTCGTGGGCATCCACGCTTCTCCGGGGCAGCATCCGCCAGCCGGGAGCCAGCAGGTGCTCGTGGGCATCCACGCTTCTCCGGGGCAGCATCCGCCAGCCGGGAGCCAGCAGGTGCTCGTGGGCATCCACGCTTCTCCAGGGCAGCATGGGGGCCCAGATGGAGATGCCGTGTCCACGGCAGGCACTGAACTTCCGTGAGGCTCCTGCACCCTGGAAAAGCACCCCCAGCCCACCCCTTCTCTGGGAACCCAGGAGCTGTGTCTTCTGCAGCCGGATGTGAACCTGGCACCAAGGAGGGAAACATCCACCTCTCCTTTGTCATCTTGCCACCCACTCTCAGGACTGGACTGGAAGGGGCCCCTTCTCCTTGTCATCTGTCACAGCAGCAGCTTCAAGTTCCACCCCAGCCCTCAACACAGTGCGGGGGGCTCAGCCACACCCTAGCTCCCCTGCTCAGGAGGTAGGAGGCCCTGACACAGTTCCCCTGAGGGGGCTTCTACCCACATGGCCGATCACAGCGGAGGCAGCCTCCACCCCAGGCCTTTCCATCAGGCGGAGTGGGGGCTGCAGTTCTGGATTTTCCTGGTGCCTCCCCTAGAAGGCCAGTGAGGAGCTGACTCCTTCGTGGCCGCCTGGGCATTAGTGTTCCTGCGTCCGGGCCGCTCTCCTGCCTGTGTCTGGAGGGAGTGAGACGGGGGCAGGCGAGCACGCAGGGTGGCTGGCGTGGTGCGGGCCCAGGCTGCACCCCAGCCAGTCCCACCCTGCCTGCCGGGCACAGGGAGCCCTGACATGGGGGCCGCGCCGGGGAGCAGCGAGGGCCTCCACCTGGGGCGTCAGGACGCAGCCAGCACAGCTCAGCGGGCCAGGCCCCAGGATGCCCTGCGCTCATCTCATCTCAGCCGCACTGCGCTGGCGGACGGGGAGCAGGCAGTCGATTCCTCTCTGAAGAGTAATAATTTTTCTTCGATTGCCCTCTGGTTAGGGTGCACTTATAAGTCAGAGTTAATATATGGACGTGTGTGTGCCTGTGCGGTGTGCGTGGCAGAGCGTGTGCACCTGCATGTGTGTGTGTGCAAGTGTGACCATGTGCCATGCGTGTCTGGGCGTGCATGTCCGGCTGTGTGTGTTTGGGTGTGTGAGTGTGTGTGTCCAGGTGTGTGTGCCAGAGTGTGTGTGTACGGGTGTGTGCCTGAGTGTGTGTGTCCGAGTGTGCATGTTTGGGCTTGTGTGTCCAGGTGTGTGTGTCCGGGCGTGTGTGTCCTGGTGGGCGTGTCCAGGCGTGTGTGTCTGGGTGTGCGTGTCCAGGTGTGTGTGTCCAGGTGTGTGTCTGGGTGTGCGTGTCCGGGCATGCGTGTCCGGGTGTGCGTGTCCGCGCGTGCGTGTCTGGGTGTGCGTGTCCGGGCGTGCGTGTCTGGGTGTGCGTGTCCAGGTGTGTGTGTCCAGGTGTGTGTCTGGGTGTGTGTGTCCGGGCGTGTGTGTCCTGGTGGGCGTGTCCAGGCGTGTGTGTCTGGGTGTGCATGTCCGGGTGTGCGTGTCCGGGCGTTCGTGTCTGGGTGTGTGTGTCCGCACGTGTGGCAAAGCAGAGTAAGTGTGGCTGTGGGCTTGCCGCTTCATTGCTCACCTGGACCCGGACAAGGCTGCTGAGAAGCTTGAGGGTGGGGTGGCCACACCTCTGGCCAGAAGGATGTGGCTCGGCCTTGCCCCATGTGGTACCCCAGACAGAAGGCTGTCCTTCTGCCGGTTCCCATCTCTCCCTCATGCTGTCCCCAAAGGCCCAGCCCTGCCCAGAATCAAACCCTGTAGTTGCCCAGTCTGGGGTTCATATGCTCATTTGGTGGCATCTTGTTGGTGATCAGCCTCACCCCATCTCCCCCCTTGTGAAATAAATACATGTGAGCACTCTCCAAAGCACCTTGTTCGCCTCTTGATTTCTCCAGAACTGGAGCTCGGGAGCTCCTGGGCTGTGGCAGAGGGTCCTTTGGCGTGAGGGTTTGGTCTCATTACAGGCAAAAACCCTCTCAGCCTGCAGCTGGGACAAATCCAGCCCGCCCTGGCCCCGCCCTGCCCAAGGCAGGACCAGCTGACCTTCGGCACTGGCTTAGCAACCCCCTATCTGATGGATTAGGAGGGTCAGGCTGCTTCGGAAACCTCTGAGGAAGAGGAGGGTTGGAGGTGAGCTGGCTGAGCCGTCCAGATCCACCCCTCCTGCCGCAGGCACCGGCTTCTACCTCTGGAGACCTGTGGCGAGAGCCTCTGTCCCTCCTGATCATGGAGAGTGGAATCCGCAAAGACACCAGGCCCTCTGTCCCGGAAATGCTTGTGGGAGAAATGGGGGAGTTCCCTAGGCGGTGACAGCCCCATGTCTCTCCCCGAGGAGGCCAAGGAGGCCCGTCTGTGTGGGGGGCACACAGACACACGTGCCCGTTGCCCCCTTTCCGTTGGGTTCTCCGCGAATCGGGGTTTACAAGCTCGTCGGTGGAAAACGCTGCTGCTTGGTGATGAGTTCAGCAAACTTAAATATCAGAGTCTTGGGGTAACTGTGGAACAAGATCAAGACCTGTGGTTCCCACGTGAGGTCCAGGGAGACCCTCAGGTCATCTCACAAGGGAGTGCTTCGGGGAGGAGTCCAGCCCCATGGAGCCACCCTCTGCCCTGTGGGGTCCTAACATAGAAATTCAGAGATGGCAACATCCCCTTTTACCGTTGGCTGAGATAGCCCGAATCCCTAAGAGGTTCTCAGAGGCCCCTGTGGGATCCTTCCTCCTGCAGGAAATGAGCCGAAAGCACCTCAGACCAAAGAAGCCGAAAGACCTGCTCTGTTCTCCCACAAGGTCCTAAGCCAGGCCCGGGCTGCTGAAACGGGAACCTTGTGCCCTACGGTCACCCTGTGCCCGAGGCTGCACTGATAGAATAGACAGCAGAAGCGTCCTGGAACTCAAGAGAAACACTGCTCTTCTTGTCACCAGCAGCAGGACAGGTGTTTAGGGGGTCTCCTTGTTTGGGAGGAGGCGGGATGGGGGGGCTGGAGGAGGCTTGTTGCCTCCAAGCACCAGTGTGTGTGCTCCAGCCCTCGGCTGAGCGTCCAGGGGTCTGGGCTGTTCATTCATCCCAGCACAGATGGTCAGCGCTCCCCTCGGCTTCCTCCCAAAGGTGAGGCTACCTGGGGAGACTGGCCAGAGCATGGGGCCAGCACCCCCAGTCAGTACCCGCTTTGCCCTGTGAGTCCCAGAGTGTCTGAAGGCTGTGGGGTGGCAGGTCAAGGCAGAGAAGAGGAGGTAATGAAGCCAGAGGCAGAGGTGGAGGAGAGAAGAGAAGCAGGTCCCTGGGGGAGCCTGGGGTCCCCAATCCTTTGGGGGAATTTGGGAGTTCCAGAGATCCCCATCTCTGCACGGGACTGCGGACAGCATGCGCTAAGCATGGGGCTCGAGGGGACTCTTAACTTCCTGTTGGAAGCTGGCACTGTGTGTGGTTGAGGTCGGTCTGCCTCGCTCTGGACAGCGCAGGTGGGCACTGCAGAGCCAGCTGAGTGCTGTCTCCCTGTCCCCACTCCCATCTGGTGGCTATTTCTTTCTCTTTCCTCTGTTCCCCCCTCCCTCAATCCGTATGGCAGAAAGTATCACAGATGGTATTCCTGATACGTGGCCAAGCCACCAAAGGCGATGTCTTAGAATCCATACGTGTTATTTCTCCAGCGTGTTTTATATACTTACTCTGGGGGCTACGAAAGGGGAGAAGCAGAAGAGACTGGGAAAGCGCAGTGTGGGCCTGAAGCCACCATCTCCGGCCACTCCAAGCCTTTTTGTGTGGGTTTCTGAAGCCATTTTTTATTCGGCTGGTCGTCTTTCCACTATTCTTGAAAAGGACCCCCGCTTCCCGAAGGGCAGAAGTCGGCTCCCAGCGCTCCCTGGGGACTCTCCGGGGCTGGGAATGAGGGAGGTGCCCCCGGTTTGCACCCCGTTTCTCCTCTTCCCACGTCGCTTCTCTGAGAAGAGTGAGGGACAGCTGGCCAGGACAGCGATGGGCTTGGGAGGGGCCTGGCACCTGCTTGGGGAGCAGGTGGCCCAGGAAATCTGGGATCTGCCCGGCCGGCCCACCCACTGCCGGCTCTGCAGCCTGTGTTGATTTGCGTCCCGGCGGTGGGGCCGGCAGATCGTCAGCTCCCAGTCAGCCACCCCTTCCCTCTCCCGGGTCGCAGACCCGCGTCTCTTGGCCACGAGGCTTTCTCACGTATCAGGTACATTTCCTGGACCTGATTACGGGATCATGGTGGGCCCCAAACTCTAGAGGCCCATTGCAGTTCAGTTCAAATATATTTGGACACGTGTCCTGTGGTTTGCTTTTTAAGACGTCTTGGAAGGGAGGGAAGACGGGAGGAAGAAGGAACTAATGTACGTTGAGCAAGTATATGATGAAGATCATGACCTTTGGCCTTTAAAGCTTACATCGAGAGAAGAAACTAGACACCATCGATTGGGCCTTCCCACCCCTGGAGCCTGGCAGTCACAGAATGGGGTGTATAGCTCCTGGCATAGATGGGAGACTTGGCATATCGGCAGATTCCAGGGCTCTTTCCCCAGAGAGGCTCTGGCTGATGGCTGGGTCTCTGCTCCTCCAGGCTTGCGGCTGCCTATTGCCACGGGCTCCTGGCACTGCCCAAGCAGAGAGCCAGGCCGAGGAGTGAGAAAGCCAGGCAGGAGCATGGATGCTGCCGACGGTCGCAGCACACGGGAG